CGAACTGAACCACCTCATCCCCCCTAGCTTCTGGCTTTGCCACCTTCCTCTTCTTCCTTTGAAGTGGTGCCACCTCCTCGCTCACTTCTTCGCTACTCCTCCTCATAGGCTCTGCCCTTCGCTGCATCTCCAAAGCTCAAGCAGAAGTGCTGGACAGGCATTCTTTCTCTGCTACCCCCTTGTTCGCCACATTTGAAGTCTTTGACTTCTTCCTTGGCTTCTTTGGGATAGCCAACCCCCCCAACAGCATTTAGAAAGCCTTCCATCTCAACTGCAAAACAAAAACAAGTGTTAAAACACACAAACTGAAAGTTCAAGTAAGCTATACAAAGCAAAACTAAACAAACCTTTGCTCAATGAGCTTGGCCCATAGAGCTCGGCAACCTTTATCGCCTCTGTGCTGGTGAGGTACATGATATCCACTAACTCCCCTTCTTCCCTCACCAGCTTCCGTACTTCTTCCACCTCATCCTCGTTCAACTTATAATTGTTCTGCTTGGTTTTCTTAGCTTTCCAAGCAGACAAGTGTTCCACTTCGACATCCCTCCTACTCCACTCGGTGTCATCCACAAAGAAGAACTTCTCTTTCCATCCTTTGATGGATGACGGTCCAGCAATGAATAAACTCCTATTCTCTTTGCTGGACGACCGAGGCTCGAAGTAGTACCACACCTTCTCACCTTTACCCCCAGCCCTTATTATAAAGAAATTTTTAAACATATTTATGGTAGGGACCCCAACACCCCGACCTCGGCAATATACTATAAAGCCTATTATTACTCTTATAACATTTGGGGTTAATTGGGTTATTCCTATACTATAATCTAACAATAACCCAACCAGTAACTCTGGAATGGGAAACCTAAGCCCTGCTACCAAATAATGGACATACATAGGCATCCAATGGTTTCGGGGTGCTGAACACGCTCTCTCATTCACCCCAGCAGGCCTAATCAACACATGGTGAGGAAGGTTACAGTTATTTACAAGACCCCTAAGGCTACTTTTACTACCCAATTCACTCACATACCCCCTCACCTCAGACACTATGTTTACCTCTGGGTCATAACACCTACCCACATCAGCCTCAACCTCCATAATATTTGAGGGAATTTCTTCTTCCTCCACTACCCCCCGTTCCCTCCTTTCCTCCACTGTCCTCTTCAAACTAGATGGAGACGGACTACTCTCCGAGTCCATGCCACCATACTCTAGGGGCATCACCTCACTCCCTAGTACACTCATTGTCCCTTCTGAAGACATCTCCTCAATTTCTGCATAAAGTAAGAGGAGAAATGGAGTCAGGACCCTTAAAAAACTCTAACGCACACTCAATAAACATTCTCACTCCCAACCCTAACTTCCTTTAGAGGACTCAAAATCAAAAACAGAAAGGAAGAAAGGAGAGTGACGCTTCGTTAAAATTAAAACCAAAAATTCATAAACATTACCTAATTTTGGTCTTGAGAAACTGGTGTTGAAGTCTCAAACGAACCACAAACCGCACGAAATCGCAAAATTTTAGCAGCAATTTGGTAGCAAAATAGGGAAAGTAAAACCCATTTTTACAGAAGTTTTGCCTTTTATACCACAGGCAAAACACGCCTCAACGACTGTGATTAGCTCCATCTAACGGCTACAAAGACACCGTTTCAAATTCGACAGTTAACCCCAAATGGCACTGTTTCGAACTAGACCGTTCGTTTTTTAAATCCGCCCGTTTAACTATTGCACTTATATTTTTACAGCCGCATTTATTACGCACGTCCTTCAAAGGACAGTTGTCACACCACGTACTGCCTCTTTGTCAGAGTTCTCAGCCAGGCCCACTTAAGCCCATTTTAACACTCCTGCCCACTTTTACACATTTTTAATTTTTGCAAGTGTTTTACTTCAGTGATTGACCTGATGACTTTGGTCCTACTTGTCGCTTTGGCTCCGACCACAGTGATCCAGTGTCTCATATTTTACTTCGGCTCAAGCCATAATGACCCCGTGTCACATATTTTACTACGGCTCTAGCCCATAGTGACCCAGTGTCACACGTTTTACTTCGGCTTCGGCCACAGTGACCCAACATCACATGCTTGACTTTGGCTCCGACCCACAGTGACCCAATGTCACATGCTTTACTTCGACTCCGGCCATTGTGACTCTTTGTCACACATTTTACTACGGCTCCGGCCTCTATGACTCCGGTCACTACTTCCTATTATGGCTCCGGCCACTATGACTTCGGTCATCGCTTCTCACTACGGCTCCGACCATTATAACTCTGGTCATTATTTTTTATTATGGCTCCAGCCACTATGACTCCGGTCATTATTTTTTATTACGGCTCCAGCCACTATGACTCCGGTCATTATTTTTTATTACAGCTCCAGCCACTATGACTCCGATCATCATTTCTTACTTTGGCTCCGACCACATTGACTCCGATCATTACTTTTGCCACGGCTACGGCCACGATCACTCTGATCACATTTTATTTTGGGCATGGCCATCATAACCCCCTATCACATACTTCACTATTAGCTACGGCCATACATACATTTGAGTTATAAATTTTTATTTTTACTTCTGTAACTCATCTTTAATATTTTTGTCCCTTTTCTTTTTTATTTATGCACTACTCCCACTATCTCCCACAACATCATTCACAAGTGAATGACTTCAGGGGGGAATAGTGTAAGGATAGGTCCGAGGTGCTCAACCTCGGACGTACGACAATAATTCCTTTATAACCGAAGCGAAGGATAAATCCAACACTTCCTGCTCAAACATTTGCATGACAGTGACGATAGGCATGCTCACACCTGATTCCTTTTGACAAGCTGTACATCAGTTACAATGGACATCCTTGCATCTGAATATCTCTCAATTTCCCGGTCACGTCAAACTCCAATTATCTTGCTTGGCATGCCACGTGGGTTCCTCATTGAAGCCTATAAATACCCCCCAGGGGCCACGTAAAAAAGGTAATTGAAACCAACCCTAAGCTCCTTTTATCTCCACTCTAAAGGTTGTCCCGATTATTGCTGATTTAAGCATCGAAGTGTCTACCCCGAGTTCCACCTCGGGGCTTTGCAGGTCAATCCGGAGTGCAAACACGGACTGAAGAAGGACTTCTGGTTTGGTGCAATTACAATTGCTAAAGAAGAGTTTTACAGCACCAAATTCATTGTTTTGTTTGGATTTTGAAATGAGATCTCTAGATTTTGCTTGTTTGAATTCTCTAATTGTCACTTGGAATCATTACAGAAGTTTTTAGCCAAAGATGTATTCAAAGGAGAACACCAAATTTTTTTTTTTTTTGCCAAACACTCGTGTTAAAATTGATAACGAGTTTGTTGCAAAAAGGTTTAGAATAATGTCTATAAAAAATGGCCAAATACCTGCAAAATTGTTATGCATTGAAGATCGAAGTTTGGGTTTTGCTTCTAGAGTGCAGATGAGAGAGAAAGGGAATGTGAGACCCATTTGAGGGCTTTTTGTCGTGTTTGATTCGTGACATGGCATCAAATTTTCTCCAGCACCTTTTTAAATTTTAAGTTGTCTTCCCATATCATCAGAAAAAATATAAAAAATGCTACACAAATAGACTTAATGGTCCAAACTGATAAAAAGATTCAAATTGTATAGTTCTTAAAATTGAGGGTTAAAAAATATAAAAAATAATTTAAAAATCAAAAAATGTAAATTTATAAAATTAAGGGAACAAAATTAACATTTAATCAAATTCAAAAGGCTGTTCTTCTGACCTGTTAATATAAAATTAGTTTCTACTAGTACTCGGAAATCAGTTTTTCTTCTCTTTTCTGTTCACTACAAGAATTCACTGTATCACCAACGAGAAACCATGTCGGAGAAAGAGGGAATCTGGTCGGTGAAACAATGTACCCACTTGCATCACGTCGGTAATGGCTGCCTCGGTAAAGCCCGGCTCGGTAATTAAATCACTGAGGTAGATGAAAATCACGTCGGTAAACGCACTCACAATTACCGACAAAGAACATCTTGCAAATAGGGAGCCGGAACAGTTAACCGGAAAACATCTCTGGTTCCACGTCGGTAAATTACCGACAAGGATAACGTCTGCACATTAGGAGGTGCCTCGAGCCCTGCGCTTATCACCGACGAACATAACGTCTGCCAATGCCGCGGGAATAGTAGGCCGTCTTACTAGATCACCGACAAGAGCCACGTCTGACAGTGAAGATCTCGCTGCAGGTTCAAATCGTCTCCAAAATTTTAGGCGCCAATTGTTTCAGGTGCGATTTTTGATTTTTCTAGTTACCAACGAGAGTCACGTGGGTAATTAACCCTGAAAAAATAAAAAAATATATGTTGAATTCAGCTTATCCCCAAAATTTTAGGCGCCAATTTTTTCAGCGCCAATTTTTTATTACTGTTTACCTACTTACCGACAAGAATGGCGTCGGTAATCAACCCTGAAAAAATAAAAAAAAAATGTTTTGAATTCAACTCATATTAAAATTAATATATATTTATTGTTTAATTAAATTAATTTACAATTAAACATTAAGTAATTCGTAATATTTAATATTATAAAAAATAAATATA